TGAGGAGACTCACGCTCTGTCTGACAGGACAGAAGAGACGGAGACACAGGCATCATTGTGAGTACGCTTCTCTCCTGTTGCTCATCATGGGCTTTTGTTGTGGCTCAGAGGACTTGCTGGAATTCGGCTTTTCTCTCCAACATGTTGAACTGGTTTAAGTTAAAGCTGCCATCTCGTCTTCAGCAACACTCCTCATGTAGACGCTTAAAATAAGCTTCTGTATTGGCATTGATGGTTCTGTGGAGCATTTGCATTGCACAAAAGGTTCTTTATAGTGGAAAAAGGATATTAAAATGAATTGTAAAAAATGGTTCTCATACCCTCTTGTGCTCTTTGGACATTTTTTGACCAAAAGATTTTATGTTTTGTTATTTTAGAATTTTTGGGAAGTTTTTGTCACTTGCTGTGTGATCACACACACGCACACAAAAAAATCATATACATGATTCAAAAAGGTTAAAGGACCCTGCATAAAATAGTCACCTCGCAGTCAAAAATGACTGGATTGGAAATGAATGGGAAATAAAGTTCATCTAGTGGAATCGTTTGGTACTGCCCCCAAACAAAATCTTACTAAATCTTATTTTTTAAGATATCAACCTCAAATTTGGTACATAACTTGTTTCGATTTATGCCGTTGATTTTCTCACAGTTTCGGGAAATATATATTTCATATAAAATTTGAAAATAGTATTTTTGTGCAACTTTTAAAAATATATATTTTTTAACTTTTTCACTTCAGCAATAACCTGCCATGTGTCTTCACTAAAAAGATACCAAACTTAAGTCTGTGCTCCAAAGCATTCAAGATTTACAACATTCAAGAATTACAATATTGAATAAATAAATAAATACTCGAGGAGTATATAAATAAATCCTCGCCACGCGAGGAGCACCAGAGAACAGTTCACTGAAAGGTTCTTTAGGGAACCGGAAATGGTTCTTCGATAGCAGAAACCCACTTTTGAACCTTATTAATTTAGTCATTTAAAGACTGCACTGTATGATTGAACAAATTCACCTTTAACATCACAAGAAAGAGTTCAATTACACTTTGGAGAAGTGAACAGAGCATGCATATCATACCTTAGGTGAGCTGATCTTCATGTATTTAGTGTGTGTGTGTGTGTGTGTGTGTGTGTGTGCTTGCTCAGGTCCAGTGAGGATGAGGACGTTGTGCTCTAGACGGGTTCTGCAGCAGTGGTTCTTTGCTCTGTTCTTACTGTGTTCTCCTGTTCCGCACCACGGCAGGCCCATCGATGCCCTCAACACACACACACACACACACACTCACACACACACACACACACACACACTCACGCACTCACACACACACACACACACATACCTGCACCAGCTGCCAAACTACATCACCTGAGGAGGTTTACAGCACACACCTTCATACTAACACAAAATGTCAACTAACTGACTCTCAAAAGTAAAAGCACAAAGGAGATCACAAACCTAGAGGATAAAGATATTGCTCAGAGTAACTGCTCTTCAGGAGACTCGTTTAATATTGTTAAGAAGGGAAAAACTGTTGTTTTAGTGACTTTTAGTGGATATATACTAAGTTTGGAATAAGTATGTTTGTTTTTTTTTACATTTCTTCTGTTCACCAAGGCTGCATTTATTGGATAAAAAAAATGCAGTAAAAACAGTAAAATTGTGAAAAATTACTACAATTTAAAACATCTGTTTTCTCTGAGAATATATCATAAAATGCTATTTATTTCTGTGATCAAAGTTGAATTTTCAGCATCATTACTCCAGTCTTCAGTGTCCTTCAGAAATCATTCTAATATGATATCAACCCGAAAACTCGTTTCAGATTGTGCTGATGTTTATGAAGTCAGATATATTTTAAGAATAACATCCACTAATTTATTTGATGTCGACTTGAAAATAATTGGCGCTTGCTTTACTATGTTATCTAATGATAATGAAGTATGACTGAAGTATGTGCATGTGATTGGGATTTACTCACTTCTCAGGACTTTTTAATCAGAAAAAAATGGCCTGAATTTCTGAAAGTACTTTTCTTGCCACATCTGTCTCTCTCTCATGTAAACAGAAGGGTTGAGTCCTTATATACGTGCAGAGTATTTGTTAGGACTCCCAGCCGTCTCCTCCCACTTGCTGTTTTACCTCTCCTCTCTCTCTCTCTCTCTCAACCTGCACAGACAGTTCTGAAACTTTCCCATCACAGTGTTGGTGGGTTCATCTGACTCCTCTATAACAGAGCGGAGTCAGTCAGTGCAGGACAGACCACCTGGAAAACACACACTCGTTCACCTCACATTGGATTCCCGTTGCTCTCGTTGCTTTTGCTGTGGTCTTGTTACTTCAGACAAGATCATCTCAGAGAAAGTGAAGGACGTAATGCTGAAGGACGCTCATTGATTTGTTTGTTTGTGTTTGATCACAGCCTGGAAACTCTGAGGAGACTCACGCTCTGTCTGACAGGACAGAAGAGACGGAGACACAGGCATCATTGTGAGTACGCTTCTCTCCTGTTGCTCATCATGGGCTTTTGTTGTGGCTCAGAGGACTTGCTGGAATTCGGCTTTTCTCTCCAACATGTTGAACTGGTTTAAGTTAAAGCTGCCATCTCGTCTTCAGCAACACTCCTCATGTAGACGCTTAAAATAAGCTTCTGTATTGGCATTGATGGTTCTGTGAAGAACCCTGGAGCATTTGCATTGCACAAAAGGTTCTTTATAGTGGAAAAAGGATATTAAAATTAATTGTAAAAAATTGTGCTCTTTGGACATTTTTTGACCAAAAGATTTTATGTTTTGTTATTTTAGAATTTTTGGGAAGTTTTTGTCACTTGCTGTGTGAACACACACACACACACACAAAAATCATATACATGATTCAAAAAGGTTAAAGGACCCTGCATAAAATAGTCACCTGGCAGTCAAAAATGACTGGATTGGAAATGAATGAGAAATAAAGTTCATCTAGTGGAATCGTTTGGTACTGCCCCCAAACTAAATCTTACTAAATCTTATTTTTTAAGATATCAACCTCAAATTTGGTACATAACTTGTTTCGATTTATGCCGTTGATTTTCTCACAGTTTCAGGAAATATATATTTCATATCAAATTTGAAAATAGTATTTTTGTGCAATTTTCATGAACTTTAAAAAATATATTTTTTTTTACTTTTTCACTTCAGCAATAACCTGCCATGTGTCTTCACTAAAAAGATACCAAACTTAAATCTGTGCTCCAAAGCATTCAAGATTTACAACATTCAAGAATTACAATATTGAATAAATAAATAAATACTCGAGGAGTATATAAATAAATCCTTGCCACGCGAGGAGCACCAGAGAACAGTTCACTGAAAGGTTCTTTAGGGAACCGGAAATGGTTCTTCGATAGCAGAAACCCACTTTTGAACCTTATTAATTTAGTCATTTAAAGACTGCACTGTATGATTTTGCGCGGCGGGTTCAGATGCTCCAGAAGATGAAGAGCGGAGCATTATTTACCTGTTCAAACAGAAGCACAATCAGTCTGGAGATTTCTGCCGGGAGACGCATGGAAATGCACTTCTGTTGATTCTAATTCGTGCTCCTAGACATCAAGGCTGCAACTAACAACTATAGTGATAATCATTTAATCTGTCAACTATCTCTTGGATTAAACGGTTAATGGGGTAAAAAGGGCAATTTTATTTTTTAGCAGCTATAATTTTGTATTTATTTTTAGCACCTGTAAGTTGTTTTCTGTGATTGTGCAAGACTTCAGATTCATTAGATGTCATAGGTAAATAACCAGAAGAATAACAGCGTAGTAAACAGTATATTTAAAGTCAAATAATAATAACAAATACCAGTTTGCAATACAATATAAAGCAGCACAATATACGGTGGGGAAATAAATTGAAGTATATACAGTATATGTATAAATATATATATATATATACAATTATATTTATCTATAAAATTATATTTATATATAAAATTAAATAGTATTATTATGTTATTATAAATTTATCATTTAAATTAATTGGCCCTCCCTAACTTCATATCGGCTTTTAATGATGTGAGCTTGTGTGAGGCATCGTTCGCCCGTCGTCTGCTGGTTGTTGTACAGCTTGTGCCAGACACACACACACTTTGCTTTTGATCCTCTAATGCAATGACTTTGACTTTTTGTGCATGTTTGGGTGCTATAAACATTAGCTATATGCACATAAACAAAAATACAGCACATAATGTTTTAATAATGCAATGCAATTGCAATGTCCCTGATTTGTGCATGGATAAAAGCATCAGCTAAATGAATACATGAAAATGCAAATATGAAAACAAAAAGCTTTTATTTTTCGACTTAAATTAGTTGCTTTATATAAATGCAGTAAACACTTTTGATCCTCTATAGGGTGATTTGAGATGCCAATGCAATGACTGAAGTTTTGTGCACATTGTAGCATGTTTTTTTTGTGGGTTTGCACTAGAAACATTTGCGATATGCACACAAAAATATTCAAAAAGAAAGCAAATAACGCTTTAATTGTGCACTGTAATTGCAATGTCCATGATTTGCAAGTCACTTTGGATAAAGCATCTGCTAAATGAATATAATTACAAAAGGCTTTCATTTATGTTCATTTATATGTATATTTTGTTACGTTAAAAATAATGTGGATAAATACAAATGGAATATGAAGAGATAACATGTTTTTCTTTAAAATAGGTTTTTAATTTTTTTTTTTTTTTTGCAAGTCACTTTGGATAAAGCATCTGCTAAATGAATATAATTACAAAAGGCTTTCATTTAAAGTTAAATTATTTGCTTTATATAGTGCAGTATAAGTCTATTGTTTGCCTTTATTTAGTCATTTAGGTAAATGTGTTAGTATATAGTAAGTTGTTTTTAATAATAGGAAGATTTTAAAGGTCTGGAAGACAACGGCCACAGATGAATTAGTTATTAAAACTATTATTCACTTGATTTGACAGTTGCTGTATAAAATGAGGTGAAGTGGATGGCTGCTACAGTAATTCATTCAAAATGCACCTTTTTGCCACCAGGTTTAAAAACACATGATGATTTCTGATCAGTAAGCAAGTAAATGTCAATGTGTTAGTGAGCATAACAGGGTTAGGCCTTAAGTTCGGTGTCAGTTTTGGCCTGTCGCTCTTATTAAATCTCTCCTGATGAGCTGCGCTAAAATAGGTTTTTAATTTTTTTTTTTTTTTTGCGCCGACCAAAACGAAATTATAATACAAATTTGAATTTATTATTTTTTTTACTATTTTCATTGTGAGTGTTTTTATTAGTTGTTTCAGTCCTAGTCATCATTCTGGAGTGAAAGTCTTTGGTGAAGTGCTGTTTGCTGATTCGGTGTCCGGATCTGACCAGGGTTTGAGGCCCTCTGCCTCCGCCTTGTGTTCACGCCGCTGTGTGCATTTGAACCCGAGCGACTGCTGGATATTTTCAAACAGCACTGAATTATGCTTTACTTCAGCTGTGAGATATGTGTAATTGTTTCAAGACATTTGGATGGAGCCAAGCATCCGGTAGCAGAGAGCCGTACGGCTGACAGGACGGACCTCCAAATGATTTAAGCCGAGACACAATGGCACCATTAATTAGAGTTATTGCATAAGCTACGTTTCATCAGCTAAACCTGTGATTATTGGCTGTTGCCGCTGTCGGATCGTGACAGATTTGATGTAGTATGTTTAAAAACGGAGGTGCGTCAGAAAGGGCCCCGTGCGCTGGCTGACAGAGCTTCACATCAGCACTCCTCGTGGTTTGTTTGGGTTTGATGCAGGATCTGGAAGCAGAGGCGGGTGAATATGGCACCAGCGAGGTGTTGGATGAGGGCCAGACCTTCTCAAACCCCCTGGATTTAACTAAAAACACATTGAACGGGGCGACAGTACAGACACTCACTGATCACAGACTGGATTTAGGTTAAAGGCACTGTGTGTGTGTCTGAACGTGTGTGTGTGTTTGTGTGTGAGTGTGAGTGTGAGCGTGTGCGAGTGCGTGTGCGAGTGCGTGTGTGTGTGCGTGTGCGTGAGCGAGTGCGTGTGAGTGTGTGTGTGTGTGTGTGTGAGTGTGATTGTGATTGTGTGTGTGTGTGTGTGTGAGTGTGAGTGTGAGTGTGAGTGTGAGTGTGAGTGTGAGTGTGAGTGTGAGTGTGAGTGTGAGTGTGAGTGTGAGTGTGAGTGTGAGTGTGAGTGTGAGTGTGAGTGTGAGTGTGAGTGTGAGTGTGAGTGTGAGTGTGAGTGTGAGTGTGAGTGTGAGTGTGAGTGTGAGTGTGAGTGTGAGTGTGAGTGTGAGTGTGAGTGTGAGTGTGAGTGTGAGTGTGAGTGTGAGTGTGAGTGTGAGTGTGAGTGTGAGTGTGAGTGTGAGTGTGAGTGTGAGTGTGAGTGTGAGTGTGAGTGTGAGTGTGAGTGTGAGTGTGAGTGTGAGTGTGAGTGTGAGTGTGAGTGTGAGTGTGAGTGTGAGTGTGAGTGTGAGTGTGAGTGTGAGTGTGAGTGTGAGTGTGAGTGTGAGTGTGAGTGTGAGTGTGAGTGTGAGTGTGAGTGTGAGTGTGAGTGTGAGTGTGAGTGTGGAGCTAATAAGATCGCAGCAAACAGAATGATTAATAGAAGAGACGCACATATCACACATTGATCTGTGAAACTGAGGCTTCTGTGATTTACACACAATCATAACACAGTTAGTGACGCTGAGGTCACGGGTTCAAACGCAGTGAACACATGTGTGGTACATTGAGTTCACTGCAAGCTTGACGGCATAAAATAATTTTATTATTGTGATCCTGATCAGTTTCCAGTAAAAAAGAGCTAAAAATCTTTAAAACGATACATTTACTTCAGAAACAAAATTTTATAAGCTATTAAGAATTGATTCAGGAAAATAGGCCTATATCTTGCATATAAATGTATTGTTCTCCTTTACTGTCAAATTATTATTTTTAATTGTTAGGCATGAAATCTTATGCCTAAAAGAATAATGAAACACAAGTTGCCATTTTTAATTAGAAACATACACTTATTTGCAATATGTAAACTTATTTTTGTATTATTTTATTTTTATTATAATATTTCTTACTTTATTTTTTATATATTATTCTATTATTTATTTACTTTTTTAAGTCAAATGAAATTTTATTTATATTTTATTTTTTATAATATTTTATAATATTTAATATAATATTATATATTTATTTTGTATTTTATTT